TTCAAGTCCTGTGCAAAAACGCATGATCGCACGGGCCCGTCCGGTGCGTTCCAGCCTGGGTTTAATCATCACATTTCATACCACTGATACACTGTTTTGCATTTTCTTGTGTGAATGTCTCGAAAGAACTGTAGGATTACCAAGAATGCTAAGACCGTTTGGGCTGTCAGTGTTGGTATCTCGTATCAGTAATTTTACTGAAATGTTTCCACGTGCCAGACGCAAAACTATGGTTGGTCCTTGATACTGAACACAAAGCTCTGGCTAGCGCTTCTTAATGAAATTTGTGAACAGACAGGGTGCGATATGTATATATAAATATATATATATATATTTTTTTTTTCTTTGATATTGACTGTAATTTTACAGGAAAGGCACGTCAATTGGCAAACTGGATATGGTTTGGAGGACAAGTATGGGCGAAAGGGGACGTTTGCAAACGAGCTCACTGCAGAGAATGGTCATTTACTTGTTTTGATGCTATGTTCCTCACTGATATTTCGCCAGTTTTAAGCAAAATTTAACTTTACTATCAACTATTCCGCTAATTTTTAGCATATTTCATCCTTTTCTTCGAATGACCGATGTGTTTTCCAACGGACAAGATATTATTTTTCAGGCTCCGGGTTACGGTGATTTGCGGCTTACAATTGAAAAGATACCAGCAACCGTCAAAGTACTACAACCTTTTGCCGTGGTCTGCCGGCTTCATAATTGCAGGTAATTCGATGCGTAGGCCCAGTGACGGTGCCCTTTGCGTTTATTTGATTTTGTTCAAGTAACATTCAGTGAGCGACTTTGTTCATCTGTTATCTCTCATTCTTGCCAAATGATGCCCGTCCCTCTTCATGTTGATGCCTAATATTTTTTTTAGTGAACGATCCTTGGATTTGGTACTGACGCTGGACGACAAATTACAACCAAATATTGTTTTTTGTTCAACGAGCGGTGTTGAATTGGGACAGTTACCACCAAACAGCACAACTGATTTCTCGCTAGAATTACTGCCACTGATAGCCGGATTACAGGTGCGCATTTTTCTCTTTGGTTTCATTGTTCTTCACAAACAAAGTAAGACTTAGAAACGATTCTACAGTGATCGAAGATCACAGCTCGTGTGATTACATGAATAGCGTAGAATGAAGTAAGGCCTAAGTTTACTTGCCCTAAAACAATTTGAGGGAAA